TCCAAGTGCTAAGATTAATGGCATGTGCCACCAATGCCCAGCTCTCAGTGAATATTGTCATGTGCCATTCATGAATCTGTGACTTCAAGGAATTTATATAGTTGCTGATTATTTCATGAAAACTAAAGTTACACTGAGGGCTGAGCACTGGCATTGATTAATCATGTCTGCCTTTTAACATTTCCTTGGGGGAGGAGTTATTGGGCTGTCTGGACTAGGATCCAGTTTTAGGCCTCCTGACTAAAGTGTAACACCCCTATCCATGTCCTGGCCCCATTCTCCCAAGTACAGGAGTAGTACTAAAGGCAGAGGACAAGGAAGGAAAAAGGAGCTGATCCTGAATTATTTCATTTTCTCCTGTGGCACCCTTTGCCCAAGATGAAGAAAGCAAGGGGAAAGGGTTTTCATTTTACTTGAAAATGGAAGGAACATATTACATTCTCTTTGCTCTCTTCAGGCAAGTTATGTATGTGTTGCTCTGTGTATGCATGTGTGTGCACTGGTGCATTTATGCTCCCCCTCCCACACTATGTGTATGTAATGTGTCCAGAGATAGGATAGATCCTTGATATTTGCTGGCAGCCAGTCTGTCTGAATCAGTGAACTCTTTAGTTCAGTGCGAGACTCAAGGAATAAGGTGGAGAACAATAGAAGACACATGGCATTGATCTTCATCCACTACATGAACTCAGAAGTATACACAAAGGGAACACATATATGATGTTCCCTCCCATCCCCAATGAAAGCAGTGATTGATTGGAAAGGTAGTAAACAGCCCTCAGAACAATATAAGCTCCAGAGTAGTAAGTGGGTGGTAGAAAAAGTCCCTAGAGAGGTAAGAGCGAGAAATCATTAGGGTGGTGCTTGAAGCATCAAGCTTCTTGGACTACATTGTCCCAGCTCATAGTTTTGGTCTGTATTAGCCAGCTTGATGGTTTCATGGCACTGAACTTGCCTCTAGTAATAAGCCATTGATGTAGTGTTGCCTAAATGTGTGGAGGATGTAAGCTTAAAAACTTGATGTCACAGTAGATGGATACCAGGTTCAGGCACTCCAAGATGGTGTTAGCATGCTTAAAGCACTCAAACTGGTGCTGAAGTGGGTCCAGTTATTGGAGAAGGCAGTTGCCTTACAAAGCAGTCTCATGATGGCAATATTCAGTCCGAACTTACATTTCAGTGTCATATGTCTAGGATGTTTTGATGCTAAGACAATTAACCTTCATTCAGCTTATCAAGTGAAAGCTTTCTTGATGCTTGGGGACACTATATTTCTGTAAGATGGCCTCTCATTAATTCTAGCCTGAAAATTCTGGTATTCTTTGGTCTAGGTTTGATTTTGCTTTCTGGATCAATTTCAGGCTTGCTAGTAATCCAATTAAAAGGTTTTCTTGGTAGGGCCTAGAGAGATGGCTTAGTAGTTAAGAGCACATGTTGCTCTTGGAGAGGACTGGGGTTTGATTCCCAGTTTTCACCTAGTGGCTCACAATCATCTGTAATTCCAGTTCCAATAAATCTGATGCCTTCTGATCTCTATGGGTACCACACACATGGGGCACATACATACCTTCAGGCAAAACACTCATACATATATTTCACATGTGAAATAAATCTCTAAAAATTTTTAAAATAAGTTTTTGTTGTTTCGTTTGGATCTTATTTGTTATTTTGTCTTTCAGAGCTGAAGATTGAACTCAGAGCCTTGCACTTGCTAGACAAGTGCTCTGCCACTGAGCTCAATCCCTAACCCCAAGATGGGATCTTATTTGTAGCCCTGCCTGGCCTAGAACTTGCTGTGGGATGTTCTGTATGCTGTGAATGTGTTGTTTTGATTGGTTGATAAATAAAAAGCTGATTGGCCAGTAGCTAGGCAGGAAGTATGGATGGATAAGCAGACAAGGAGAATTCTGGGAAGAGGAAGGCAGAGTCAGGAGACGCCAGCCTGCCCTCCAGGGAGCGGCATGTAATGGCACACAGGTAAAACCACGGAACACGTGGTGACATATAGATGAACAGAAATGAGCTAGTCAGTAGGAAGCCTGAGCTAATGGCTGAGCAGTTTTAATTAATATAAGCCTCTGTGTGTTTACTTGGGTCTGAGAGCCTGTGGACCAGGCAGGACACAGGAAAACTTCCAGCTTATAAGAACTCACTATATAAGTATGTTAAGCAATCCTTCTCTCTCAGCCTCCTGAGTGCTGGGGTTACAGTCATATACAAATTTTGTTTTGCTTTAAATTAAAACTTCATTAATGGAACCACCATGCCTTTCAATAGTCTCACTGTTGTTTATAGTAGCAAAGTTAAAGAAACCTTTTGCTTTTCAAATCTTACTACATAGCCCAAGTTGTTCTTATTGCTCACTGTAATCCTCCTGTTTCAGCCTTCTAAGTGCTGAGATTATTGGTATAAGCCATCACACTCAGGAAATAGTGTTGTTAAGATTTATTTATTTTGTATACAATGTTGTGCCTGCGAGTATGCCTGCAGGCCAGAAGAGGGCACCAGATCTCATTATGGATGGTTGTGAGCCACCATGTGGTTGCTGGGAATTGAACTCAGGACCTCTGTAAGAACAGCCAGTGAGTACTCTTAACCTCTGAGCCATCTCTCCATTCCCTGAAAATAGTGTTTTGAAGAGATACTTTGCTTCAGTGTGACATAGCCAGAATATAGAGTCTACCTAAATGTCAGTCAGCAAATGCATAAAGGAAATATGGAACATAGACGCTGGGTTCTGTTCAACACCCCTGCCCCAAGATAAAATCTGTTATTTACTATAGGTCTAGGCAGAGAAAGGCAAGCTCCACACAATCCCAGTCTTGGGTTTGTTTGATTTTTGTTTTTCAAGACAGGGTTTCTCTGTGTAGCCCTGGCCATCCTGGAATTTGCTTTGTAGACCAGGCTGACTTTAAACTCAGAAATCGACCTTCTTCTGCCTCTTGAGTGCTGGGATTAATGGTGTGCGCTGCTGCCACTATCACCACCACCTGGCCATGATCCCAGTCTCATGTGAAACCCAATGCAGTTAATCACACAGACATTGAAAACAGAGGCTGGGGAGAGTAAGGAGGAGAGGAGGTTGAAAGTTGCTACCAATCCAAGTTAGTCGGAATAAGTTTTGGGGTTCTGTTTCCACAAAAAGATAGCTACAGAGAGCAGTAATGTACTGTATATTTCAAGAAAGTCAGAAAAGTATCATTTTTGTATTTTATTTTTCAGACTGGTTTCAAACTATGTCAGTGGTTCTCAACCTGTGGGTTGCGACCCCTTGTGAACAAAGCTTTTCACCTGGGTCACTTAAGACTATCCTGAATATCAGATAATTTACATTGCTATTTGTAACAGTAGGAAAATTACAGTTATGAAGCAGCAGTGAAAAAAATTTTATGGTTGGGGGGTCACCATAACAAGAGGAACTGTATTAAAGGCTTGCAGCATTAGGAAGGTTGAGAACCACTGCTCTATGTAGTTGACTCTGGCCTTGAACCCTGGTCCTCTGACACCTGACAAGTGCTGAAATTACAAACTTGTAGCACTATATCACACTCTAGAGACAGGACTTCCCCAGTGCTTTTTTTCTTTTGTTTTGTTTTTTGAGACAGAGTTTCTCTGTTTAGCCCTGGGTATCCTGGAACTCACTGTGTAGACCAGGCTGGTCTCGAATTCACAGAGATCTGCCTGTCTCTGTCTCCTGAGTTCTGGGGTTAAAGGCCGTATGCCACCACCACCTGGCCTATTCCTTTTTTCACTTCTTTCTTTCCTTCCATCCTTTGTCTTTTTTCCCTTGGATGTTTTTTTTTTTTTTAAGAATCTTGGGATCAAAAGGGCCTTTTGTATTCTAAGCAAGAACTACATCTCCAGTCCTAAAAGGACTTGAGATAAAGTAAACAATATATACTTGATATACCATCTACTGAAGCATCACAATGTATACCATCTACTACTTACTGAATATCACAGTGTATGTCATCTACTAAAATACCACACGGTGTTTACTTTCTATTAAAACAACACATGGTGTGTACAGTAAATGTATACAGTGTTTTTAAGGATTGGGCATGTAGTCAGTTGTACAGCATTTGCAAATGGGAACCTTGAGTTGGGTCCACAACAGAGGAAAAACATTAAAAACACTAATTCTAACTGGTTGTGGTGATGCATACCTATAAGACCAGTATGCAGGAGACTGAGGCATGATAGTTTGCTGCAAGTTTGAGATCCTAGGCTTGGCTTCATGTTAAGGTACAATCTGAAACAGTTTTTTTTTTAATTATTTATTTTTATTTTGTGTGCATTTGTGTTTTGCCTGCATGTCTGTGTGAGGGTCTCAGATCTTGGGAGTTACAGACAGTTGTGAGCTGCCATTTGAGTGGTAGGAATTGACCCAGGTCCTCTGGAAGAGCAGCCACTGCCCTTAACCTCTGAGCCATTTCTCCAGCCCCAGAACAGTTTCATTCACTTCATTTTTGTCATCATGCTGATCTTATGTGGTATGTGTTCCTGGACTTGTTCTGTGAGTGCTAGGGATCTGAACTTGGGTTCTCATGTTTGTGTGGCAAATACTTTACCAGCGGAGTTGTTTTTTCTAGCCCTGCATTTTGTCAGTTAAAAAAAAAAATGATTTATTGGCCAGGCAGTGGTGGTACATGCTTTTAATCCCAGCCCTTGAATTCCATTGAATTCCAGGACAGCCAGGACTGTTATGCAGAGAAAGCCTGTCTCAAAAAACCTACATACACACATATTTGCGCATATGTGTATTTTTCCTACATTTATGTCTGTGTACCACATGTGTGCATTGCACACAGAGGCTAGAAGAAGGCCTGAAATACCCCTAAGAACTTGTAGGTACAGGTGGTTGTAAACCATCATGTGAATGCTGGAAACAGAACCCAGGTCCTCTACAAGAGTGGCTAATGCTGTTAACAGGTGAGCCATCTCTCCAGCCCCATATTTTGTCATTTTAATGGTAATAAGTAGCAACCTTTTTTTCCCCATGTCAGATGGAAAATGTAATATCAATAATGAGGGTTGAAGGAGGCGTGTGATACATAGTGGTGTAAACACCTAATAATCACACTTAAGAACTGAAAAGGATGGGAAGTAGTGGCCATTTTGACTGGTGATTACTATGCTCTAGTGTCTATTTCTAATTCAGACTCGGCATTTAAGCTCATAACCTACAGTATCTCAGCATCTTGTTTGGTTCTCTGGCAAGCCTGAGTAGATTTTTAAAACTACATTCATAAGTGAATGAAGAAACAGGCCAAGAAGGGCTAAGCACTTGCTGGAGGGTGAAGAATAGGTAGTGAGTGTCAACCAATGTTGTACTCTTTTATTCCAAGTGTTTAAATTATGAGCAACCATAATTTTCAGTAACAGTGTTTTCAGAGCTTATGAAATGCCTGTTTCTTAAAAGAATGTCTTCTACAAGGGAAAAGAGACTTTTCAAGGTTGCACATGGCCTGTTGGGAGATGGAGTTAGAATTGAAATTTAGGGTTTTTTGTTTTTGTTTTGTTTTTTTCAAACAGGGTTTTGCTGTGTAGCTTTGGAGCCTGTCCTGGAACTCACTCTGTAGACCAGACTGACCTCAAGCTCACAGAGATCCACCTGCCTTTGCCTTCCAAGTGCTGGGATTAAAGGCATGCATCACCACCACCCGGCAAAATTCAGCTTTTCTAACTGCTGAGTTCCAGGCTCTCATGGAGCTGTTGTGCAGTTTCCTCCTTGACTACTAACATTCAGACTGTTAGTTTCCCCTCAGTGGTGACTTACACTGACATATGAGAAGCATTCTGCTAGTCTGCGGTTGTTTATTTATTCCAATACAGTCTTGATTTTGTAGACATTATATTTAGAAACGTGTAGGTACAAATACAGAACTCATGCTGACTAAATTTTGTTGGGCGAGGGACATATGGTTCTGGGGTAATGTTTTGTTATTTTCTTCTTCATTCTGTTTTATAACAAATTCAGATGATTCAGACGGTTGGAACATTTATCAGCACCAGTGTTACTAATCTGAGAAGACACATCAACATTATAGAAAGGAGCTTAGTTTAGAAAAGACATTTTCAAACAAAATCCACTATTTAGGATTCTACCTGTTTTGTGCTCTTTTCATGCTTCACTATTGCCATAGTTGGTAATTTTTCTTGTTGGGTTACTTTGTGGGTACACTTCAGAGTTTTATTCCTAGACATGTAGTTCTTAATGAGTAGTCTGTAACTTCAGCTATTCTGGTCTACACTACAACTTTGCTTTTTAGCTATTGGTTCAGAGGCATGAATCCACATGGTCAGGCCCATTGTCAGCTGCTTGATGTTGCTATTTGCTTATTGGATATAAAGACTTCTAAACTGTTAGAACCCCAAATTGTAGGCTTGGGAAGGAGATTTTCTTCTGGAATGTTCGTTAACCTTAGCAGTGAGAGATGATACTTTCATTTAAAGTTTAAATTTTAAGCACTTCTTTTTCAAATTTTCTATCTAACCATAGGAGAACAATTATCATGTATTGGTCATTTATATAGAATATTGGCTGTAGGGCTGGCTCATAGGTTGAGAGCAAGGGCTGCTCTGCCAGAGGTCCTGAGTTCAATTCCCAGCAACTACATGGTAGCTCACAACCATCTGTAAAGAGATCTGGTGCTCTCTTCTTGCCTGTAGGCATGCATGCAAGTAGAACACGGTATTCATAATAAATAAATAAATAAAAAAGAGCCGGGCGGTGGTGGCGCACGCCTTTAATCCCAGCACTCGGGAGGCAGAGCCAGGCGGATCGCTGTGAGTTCGAGGCCAGCCTGGGCTACCAAG